CCCCGCACGTCGGGGGGGGGGAGGTCGTTAAGGAGTCGTAATGGTTGTTTTCCCCAACCTCTCAGAACCTGAGGCAACAGTTTTCAGAGGCGCCTTAATTTATTTCTAAACAGAGACAAACATGGCATTAAATCATCATCGGATTCAGAAAGCAAAGCAGCTAATCTGGCTTTCATTTGACTCCATTTAGTTAAAAGTAGCTTTCAACAGGCGGGGAGGAGACCGCGCGGGAGAGAAAGAGCGGGCGTCGCGCTGAAGAGCGCCCGTGATGGAAATGATAAGGTTCCCCCGGAAAGACGAGCGCCTGTGGGTGCGGAGACGCGGCTGCAGAGTCCCGAGGCCCCGCTTTCTCATGTAAATCGCCCGGCAATCGCCCGGCTCCCGCAGGTGCCAGCTGGACCGAGCGGCCAGCAGAAGCAAAGCTGAAAGCTGGTCCCGGCCTGGGGCGTCCGCTGAGCACATTGGGTCCGTAAGGGACGGGGGAAGGCCCACCTCGGGGAACCGGGAGAAGGCACCCGATGGCCGGATCACAGCCACGGGCGGCTGTGAAACTTCTCATAAAAGGGATCGCAGTTCTTTGTGAGGGAAGAGGGAGGGAGGGAGGAAACCGCTCAGAATGGCAAAGTGTTTTGAAAAGCAAAGCTTGTGCCTGATTCTCGCTCCCTNACAGAGAGGGAGGGAGGAAACCGCTCAGAATGGCAAAGTGTTTTGAAAAGCAAAGCTTGTGCTCGATTCTCGCTCCCTGGGGGGCTTCGAGTCCTTACCTGTGCCCAGGACGGGGCTCTGTGAGCCAGAGTGGCCAGAAGGCCACGGACCCCCCGAGGCACGGGGACCAAGGGGAGGGGCAGNCCGGAAAGACGAGCGCCTGTGGGTGCGGAGACGCGGCTGCAGAGTCCCGAGGCCCCGCTTTCTCATGTAAATCGCCCGGCAATCGCCCGGCTCCCGCAGGTGCCAGCTGGACCGAGCGGCCAGCAGAAGCAAAGCTGAAAGCTGGTCCCGGCCTGGGGCGTCCGCTGAGCACATTGGGTCCGTAAGGGACGGGGGAAGGCCCACCTCGGAGAACCGGGAGAAGGCACCCGATGGCCGGATCACAGCCACGGGCGGCTGTGAAACTTCTCATAAAAGGGATCGCAGTTCTTTGTGAGGGAAGAGGGAGGGAGGGAGGAAACCGCTCAGAATGGCAAAGTGTTTTGAAAAGCAAAGCTTGTGCCTGATTCTCGCTCCCTGGGGGGCTTTTGAGTCCTTACCTGTGCCCAGGACGGGGCTCTGTGAGCCAGAGTGGCCAGAAGGCCACGGACCCCCCGAGGCACGGGGACCAAGGGGAGGGGCAGGGAGAAGGGGCAGAGGAAAAGGGTGTGCCCTTTGCAAGGCGCCCGCTGCACGGGGACGTCTCCAAGGCTGCCGTCCAGGAGGATGCCTCTGTCCAGGGTTGACAGCTCAAGTCGGGGCCACGTGACCGGGTTCTGAGCGAGTGTTCCCACCCCAATCNCAGGGTTGACAGCTCAGAGTCGGGGCCACGTGACCGGGTTCTGAGCGAGTGTTCCCACCCCAATCCCTGGAACCTGTGCTACGTGACCCGAGTTGGGGAGGGGACTTTGCAGGTGGGATGAAGTTGAGGATCTGGGATGGAGCCGTTACCCGGGGTTTTCCGGCGGGGCCGGAAGCAGAAGCAGACCAGAGTCACCCCCATCCCCCACCCCCCCAGCCCTGAGCAGGCTTCTCAGGAGGCCACGGCCACACGGTCCTCAGGGAAACCCACGTATAAGCTGCGGGCAGAAAACCTCTGACGATNCCTCGGGAGGCCACGGCCACACGGTCCTCAGGGAAACCCACGTATAAGCTGCAGGCAGAAAACCTCTGACGATGCTGAAAACAGCAGAAGACACCCAAGAAAACCTCAAAAGAGAAACATGTAAAAGTTTATTACTTCATACATAACTTTAAAAAATATATGAAACATTTCCAGTATAAAACATTGCATAGCAAATGATGTTTGTATAAAACTCAGTAAGAAAACATAATTTTCAGATGATTCAGAGAAAACTCCTGCTGAAAGCAAATCAAGACACCCTCGACGGTGCTCTCAGGCGGCCATGCCCGGGCCGCTGCGGGTGCGCAC